TTAAAAAGGATCAGATTCATATTCCAGTCTTTTCATGGGACGATAGACATGGTTACTAATGACACCTCTGAGAACAGAATAGGCAAAAGGAAGACATTTTGCATTATTTGGTGCTTGGTAATGTTTACTTGAAAGTGGGACATTAGTTGGCAAGATATATATTGTTTTTTCCTTTCATTTTAGCTGGTTTTAGTGGTAGCTAAAGCAGATGACAGGGGCACATTACCTACTGTGATATAATCTGCATCCATGATAATTAATTGATGAAAAGAATAAATTTACTCAGCAGGTAAGACAGTGACAATAGCTTTGTATTTTATAAGCAGTGTTTCTTTGGAAGATGCTGTTCTGGTATTTATAATTTATAAGATCTTTATATTTATATAGAGATATAGGGAACATCTGGTAAAACAAGTTTAATAGATTAATCAATGGCTTATAGAAAAGATGAACACTGTTGAACAGCTGTCTCTTAAAACACAAATAAACAGTTAACAACTTATAGCATAGGCTGGTCTTCAGGGATATGATGGAAGCTTCAGGGCAAGTTTAGAACAAGGTGCTAAGATCTAGACTAGTTCTAAAACTGCTTTGCTCTGTGCTGCTATCAGCCCCTCTATCAGGCTAGTGACTCTATCAGTCACAAGGTGACTATTTTTAGATTTGCTGGAATTGTGCTTTCCTCCCCACCCATCCCTGCCCAGACTTAGTGACCACTCTGTGTGCAGGGCATGGGGGGGAAGAGAGGCATGGATCCTTGTCTGTTCCCAATTCACCTTGGCATACAAATCCAGAAATAGGTGGCCCTCACCTAGGAACACATGCTTATTGATCATGGTATCTCAATTTTTCTGTTGAATTCATAGCAAAACTGCAGGAACGGAGGAAGAAGGAAGTCAGGGGATCTTTATGTGGCACTTCCTCCAGCAGCATCCTTGACCTACTTTGGGCAGCAGAGAAGCTCTCTTTTGCAAACAGAAGTTGCTAATGGCAGTGACCTACAGAACACAACAGGTCAAACATTCCTTCCCTTTTGCCAGCACGCCCCTCACAACAGGGGCTCTGGAAAGGGAGGTTTTCAGATCTGCAATAAACAGAGGGGCACATAATTTCACCCATGATAAAAATAAATTAGGAAGTTGCAAGGGACTGTTTCCTACTGCTCCTTTCTTATGAGGTACCTAGCTTTGTAAAAAGATCTATCCATGTTTCTCTCTAGATATATAAATACCTCCCTCTCCCAAACCTGCACAAAAACTTGTATTTGTGAAGATCTTTCAGACCAGCATTTAAATCAGCACTTATCAAATTTTGTACACAATTTCCTACATGAAATTGTAGCCTTATTGTTTAAGAACAAACCCACAATGCTCAGAGAAAATATCCACAGCCTGTCAGAAAGTGTATTTCAAAGAAAATAAAACCATTTATGTTCTGTCATTTACCTCCAGTTCCTTAAAGCAGCAGTGGGAATACTGTTGCTCATGAAAGTGCAAGGACAAAAACTGTGGGGGACAGTTAGATTTATGCTCTGTTTCATTTCTTGTTCAGAGATTCAGTCTTGCCACTTCCCTCCTACGAGATAATTCTTATGAAATCATATTCTTATTAAACCCTGTATTTCTTCAACATGTAAAATACCTACTTTTCTTTAGGCACTATATAATAAACATCTTTTTCTGAATTTAAAAATTTGTTATTGGCTTGATAAAAACTAGAAACTGCTCAGTGATGATGAATTCCCTATTGCATAGAACCTACTGTACAGAAGAGCTGAGCAACTGGGTAAAAGCTGAGTCTTAACACAATCTTTTCAACTTCTAATGAGAATGAAATTGACTTTAAATATGGAGATTTATGTAAATATAAATAACACATAATATTATGTAAACATTATAAATAAAGGTGTGATTAAGAACCAAAAGATGGTGAAGAGTCTACCCTTTCATTAAGCTGACTGTATTAGAAATGAGAGATGAAGCATGGCTGTAGGTGCCAAGACAGGTATTACTTCCAGCAGCTAAGTGATATTGATTTCAAATTTAAAAAAATGAGGGAACTGGTGGCATCAGGACATGCAAGACAGCCACAAGACAGACCAATAGCTCTGTGGAGTGAATGAATGGACACTTGGGTACAATCCTTCTTTCCAGTTCTTTTTTTCTGCTGTGCATGTCTGGCAGCAGCATGGGTGCTTGCCAGATCCTGTGTAAACTACCACCTCACTAAAGCAGCAGCACACAAACCCATGAAGAACTGGAAAGCAGCTTTTCAGGCAGGGTAAATGCTAGGACTTGCTCACTTGCCTGTGGAATCACACCCTGGGGCAGAAGTCAGAGCAGGCTGAGGTAGATCATATTGGAGTTTAATATAAGGAAAGCCAAATGTGCATTTGCTAGGATTTGGGATATGACTTTGAGCTTGAGATAAAGTGATAGACAAGCTCAGGGGGGGAAAAAGAAAAAGAGTCAATGTGACTTGTCTGAAATCTTCATGGAAAAGGAAACCACAGCAGAGTTCACTCAGTGTACAAAGAAGGTTCACCGAGGAACAGATTTAGATTTGGTGGGTGGGTGAGAGGGAGAAAGGGATTAAAATGAAACCAGACTCTCTGAACAGAGGAAAAGAAATTGCCCACAGCTGTGTCAGTAATACATCTTCTCAGGCCAGGGTGAGGTGCAAATGCTGTTTGGTGGGGTTTGGTGAAACTCCTGAAGACAGCTGTCCTGATCGATCAGTACACAGGAGACTGTAGGTGACAACAATTGGCTGGGCAGCCACCAAATCTTTTAAAAAACATTTACCCAAAACAGGACTTTTGTCTTAATATACCACTGTTCCCATTGCAATCTGCTTTTATTTCCCTTTTCCTCGCATTTTTAGCCCTAGAGATCTGCTTTTCAGAGATGGTGAAACACCTCTAATTAACATACTGCCAGACCTATTGTTTCCCAGTACTTTTACAACCCAAGTTAGAAGAGTGTAGACATGTCAGGAAAAGTATCTTTAGTAAGTAATTCAGAAAAACCAAATGAAAACTGATAGGTTTGGAAATATATGGGGGAGGTGGAAGGAGTGAAATAGGGAAAGAATTCTAATTGTGGAAAAACATCCTCAGTAGAGATCTAATGCATTGTACCCAATGATAAGCATTGTAGCAGCAGAGCAGACTGGCCTCGGACACCAGAGAGGAGGGGACTGTGATCTCTTAGACTTCAGCAGCATCATGTTCACCACACATAGTAATACCTTCAATATCATGAAGAAGGAAAAACATAAAATAGCTGCATATATTCAGACTGTGTATTTTTTTTTTCTGCCTTTGTCTTTTCTGCATAGATTTTATTTTGCAAATTGACTTTATCTGAGTAGACTTCCTGCTTTATTGTTTCAGAGGGTCAGGCAAAATACATTCTGTCTGAAGTCCTTTTTTTCCTTATTTTCTTCCTTCCTTAGGCTGACTGTAAGGTGTGAATGGAAAAGTGAATGAACTTACCTATTCTTTGGTACTGCTGTTAATGAAGACTGGTCAGCTGTCTTGAGCGACTTCTCAGCAATGCTGACAAAAACTAAATTTTCCAAGCACGAGGATGAGATCAAAATGGATCATATGAGATCAGCAAATTTCAATTTGCCATTACTAGAGATGAGTGGAAGGATGCTGGTGAGATCAGAGAGGCTTTTTGGCCGAAGGAGGCACAAAGGGGCAGGGAGAAACTGTGAACATTTCAGAGAGTGGAGGTGGAAGGACCAGACTGGAGAGAATCCGTGGTGCTGGGGAAGCGGGCCAGGAGGACACTGCCTGTTGATGGTACCATCAGGTGAGAAAAATTTGGGTTGTGAAGTGAGCTGACCTAACCACACCTTCTCCATCTGCAGAGATCCCTCCTCATTGCCACGTTAGCGGGGAGGACCTGGGAAAGGCCTCAGCGATCATCCTCAAGGCTGGGCTTGCTTCCTTCACGCTTATGCGGGGCCAGGGGCAGAGGCCGGGCGGCGCCGCACGCCTGAGCCCCGCGGCCCGCTCCGGGGGTAGATCGGACCACGGAGAAGCACCGTCCTCCCGCCGGATCGCTGCTGGGGCGGCTCCGCGGGCCGCCTGCCCCTCGGCATCTCCCGCAGTCCCTGCGGGACGGGCTGCGGCGGCACCGGCACCGGCACCGGCACCGCGCCGGGCCGGCTCAGCCGCGCGGGAGCGCGCCCCGGGGGAGGAGCGGCGTGGCCGCTGGGGGGCTGCCGGTAACTGAGTCGGGTCCGCAAGTGTAGTTACCGGGAAACCGCGCCCGCCCCGCCCCGCCTCCATCCATCCATGCATGCATCCATCCACCCATCCTCAGCGCCCCTCGCTGCTACTAATTCTTCTTACGGGGACGCGCCCGCTGCTCACCCACCTCCCCCCGTCCCCACTTGCTTTACTCTCACAGGGACGAGCCCGCTGCCCACCCGCCTCCCCGCTCCGCTCCCGGCCTGCGGCACCGCCCGCCGCTCACCTGTGCCCGCCCCGCTCCCCCGGCGGGCGGGAGGGGCCCCGCGCCGCCCCCGCTCCGTGCGCATCCCGCGCCGCCCGCACCTGCCCCGTCCTGCCCGCCCGCCCGCCGGCGTCCCTCGCCTCCGCCCGCCGCCGGCCCGTCCCGCGCTCCCCGCGGGCAGAGGGGCGGCCCGGCCCTCCCCGGGCCGCGGAGGGCGGCAGCCAATCGGCGCGGCGCTGCCGGGCCGAGCTGTTTACCCAATCTCAGCCCGCCCCCCGTCGGGGAGCCGGCAGCGGGGGGCGGACGGGCGGCGGGGGCTCGGCGGCGGCACCGGCGGGGCCGCGGCAGCGGAGCGGGAGCCGCGCGGGGCGCGGCGCGGAGCGCGGAGCGCGGCGGGGGCAGATGCCAGCCTGGCCCGCGGGCTCCCCGCCTCGCCCCGGCGGGGGCACCCCGCGCTCCTACCTGACCATGACCCCGCGCCGGTCCCCGCTGGGCCCCCCCGGCGTTTCCCGCTGAAGGGACCGGCTCCTTTCCGAGCTCCGCCGCTCCCCGCCTTCTCCGCCTACTCGCTGCTGAGGCTGCCGCCTCTCCCCGGAGCCCCGCCGGAGTGATGGGCTGCATCGGATCCCGCACCGTGGGTAAGGCGTTGGCAGGGACGGCGCCGGAGGATGCCCGGGCAGCCGCGGCCCCGCCGGGTACCCGCAGGCAGCCCCCGGCACGGCGGGCGGCGGGTCGCCCCTCGCAGCCCCCTCCCGGCTGCCCGTGCAGCGCCATTAGCTGCGTGCGACCCTTCCCCACCTCGGTCTCCCGTGGCGTGGCGGGGCTGCGCGGAGCCGCTGGCCTAGGTGCTGGCAGCGGGGCGGTGGGACGTGCCCGGCGCCGGGGGTCGTCTGCCCGTGTCACCCGTGACGAAAGGTCGCCGAACATGTGGGTCAGTGCGGCGCCTCCGGAGAAGGGGGTGGGTGCGGGGCGTGCCGTGCCGTGCCGTGCCTCCCGAAGCGGGATCAGGCGGCCGGCGGCTGCCTCCTTTGCTCGGTAAGGGTTTATTGTTATCCGAGGATGCAGGATGCATACCGTTGCATGATCTGCACGTCTTCTTGTCTCCCCCTTCCCCCTGCGTAGACTTCAATGGAGAAGAGCAAACAAAACTGAATCCCTTTCCTCTCGCAGAGCTATTGCGAGGGGACACGGGGAGAGACCGCATCCTTGCACTGGGCCACGCCATGCACATTTTTAACCAAAAGATCCCAAGCCTTCAGGCTATGTAACCCAGCTCTCCTACACACATGCAGATACCAAGAAGTCCCTTGATCTTTTAAGCAGAGGCATCTACCGGTAAACGCAGCATTCCGTGTGCACTTTCTTCCCTTCAGGAGGTTTTTCTTCTGTGCAAACCACAGGTACAGCTCTATCAGTTACATGGGGATATATAATTCAATATGCCAAAAGAATCTCTGAGAGCAAAACAGAGTTCCTTTGGCAGTACATCTCGCTCCCAAGCCGTCCGCTCTGTCTCTCTCAAGAGCACGCGGGCATCTGTGGGAAAAGGAGACCTCTGAGGACATCAGAATTGCACCACCACCCCAGATGGAGGTAAATCTGAGGGACTGTGTCAAGCCTGGTGCTGTGACATTTCTTGTCTCAGTGGGAAAGCCCTTTGTGAGCACTTGCAGGGAACCGTCTACTCCTGCAGCAGCAAACTGTAAACTACAGAATCCAGTTTCTACTTTGGGAATTAATTCCTGTATCTAGCCCATGTTTGTTAGCAGTCTCAAATGTCCTTATGACCTAGAGAAATCTCTTACGTGTCTATGTGGCAAAGATCACTGCAATATTTCCCTTGAGATTCTTCAAGCTCACGTGGGTCACTGTCTCTATAGCATATCAGCACATGTATTGCCTCCATCTCCTGCCTTGCCCCCATCCTCCACACACCCACGCTGCCGAGGACATTATTATTCTGTTAGCTGGGTAATTATTGATACGCCTTTTATCGATGTGTGTCTGAACTGGCAGCATTAATTCTTGGTCTGTCTTCCCCCACAATGCTGTTGAAATAAAGAACAAACATGCATTTAATAACATCCACTCTCCACTGCAAAGTGTGCTTAAGCTGTCAGATGAACTACAGGTGTTTGTTTCTATGCATGGTAGTGTTTTTATGATCTGTGACTCGGAGTCTGTGTTACAAAAAAACCCTGGTATTACTGAGCTGTTACAAGTATCATTCTCATATGAGATTATATTTATGTTTATATATATATTTATAAATGTCATACAGTTGTGTGGGCATAGATAAAAACAGAAAATAGCATCTATACTATTTCGATGGGATAATGATAACTGAAAATTCACTTTGCAAATTGCAGTCCTTCAGTACATACCTTAATGGTACAGATATTTGACTTCTTATATGATAGCAATTTTTGGTTAGTGTGATACACGTTCATTCTTGATGGTAATAGCTCAGTGGACTTTAGGGACCTATTTACAGTTAACCAAGGAGTTTTTCTTGCTCTGGTGTTATGAAGGCGTCTGCTAAGGGGGGTTGCACATCTATGATTCTGGTCTCTGTGGGAGTCAGATATGAATGTAGTAATACTGTCTGATGCCTGCTTTGTGTGAAACTTTTATGCTGTTTTGCTTTAGAAAGGGCTTATTTTCCTGTCAGTCCTAGAAGCTGGATTTAGTGAAGGTGGGAAATTTGAGTTTTAGCTGGACTACTCCACCTAAGGAGTTTTGTTCAGAACAATTCTTACTTGGCAGCCTAGATCTTTTGGCTCCAGCCTTCCTGGAGTTATTGAGAGGATTCTTCAGACATATTTTCTTCGAGCTGGAAATCAATGATTTGAAGTACTAGGTCTGAGCTCTGGGATGTGGTTGGAAACTAATATCCTAGCATGAACAGAGCTTTCTGTTCTCTCTTCCAAGTGTATCTGGTTAGGTTTTTGCAGAATTAGTTCAGTATGCAACCTCTGTGTTGCCTTTCCAAGACCAGGTAGGTCCTAGAGAAGGGAGTGCTATGCTTGTATGGGTTTTAACTTGAAATTTACATGGAGCAGATTTTGAACTTAGAATTCAAGAGGTTTTAATTAGCGATAGAAAGCTCATAATCAGTCACATTTAGTTTATTCACCAGACAAGGGCCAGTGCAGGATTGTGCCTGGAGCTTGCTCAGGGCCTTTTTCCATTCCAATTTTAAGCAAGCCACATGATTTCTTCATTTCCCGCAGGGATGTTTTACTATGATCTAGTTAGATGTCATAGTTTGCACATGTTGAGTGATGTGCAACTTTACATTTTCTTTCCTAAATATGAGTTTTCTGGTTATTTCTCCCTGGGGAAAAGTAATTGAGAGGGTCATAACAGAACAGCTCCATATGCGATAATTTGAAATAGAGTCATAGAGCAACTTTAAATTTTACAGAAGACACCAGAATGGCAATGATCACATTATGATTTCCTAAGATACGGAAAAAGCTGAAAAGTGATCTTAAAAGGCTAACCTGATATCCAGTCATCTTTTCCACAGTCACAGCTCAATGTCTTACATGTGCATTGTGCAACATGGCACGATAGCAATTACACAGTGAGAACTGGAGGTGGCTTCTTCCTCTGGTAATGGCTGCAGGTCGTGTCTGTGTATTGGTGAAACCCCATCATAGTTCCTAGAGAGCTGCCTAGCAACTCTCATCATAGCTGGGTCTCAGATTCAGGGAATGTACAGGAGAATTTTCACTGAGGTTGCTGGACAGTTAAGGCCGTAAAATTCATCTAGGAACTTGTAGATATTTGAGTGTCAACCAGCTAAATGCCAAAGGTTAGCTTGGTTGTTGTTGGTAACTGAGTTAGCCAAGTTTAGGGTTTCAGGTCTGTCTAGGTGTCTGAATGCATTGCAAGTGTACCTTTGACTACAGCGTAGACATCTTCTAACACTGGCCGTTCTGATTAGTGTGGCAAGATTTCTCTTAATTCCTTGAATGGATTTAAATTAGTAGAAGGCTCAAGCCTGTTAAGCTCAAGATTGCTGTCTCTTTTTCTCCAGTGATTTCTCTGATTTCTCTTGCATCTTCGCACAGAAGCCTGCAGCAAACATGTTTTGTGAATATGATGTAAAATGGTGGGAAAACATTCCAAGACATTACAAACTAATAGTACTTTTGGAGTGTGGGAGAAGAGAAACTAGAGTTGCTCACAGGAAAAACTTTTTTGACTGTGAGGAGTGTCAAACACTGTAATGGGTTTCCCAGAGAGGCTGTTCAGTATCCATTCTTTGAGGTTTCCAGGACCAGGCTGGATAAAGCCATGAGTAATCTCGTGTAACCTCATAGCTGACTCTCCTTTGAACTGGATTTTTCACCTCAGGAAGCACCTTCCAACCCAGTTATCCTGAGATCCTATGCTTAGGGTCAAAACCCTGCCTCTCTGAGTCAAGTTGGACTCACTGCTTTAGTCTTGCTCTGCCATCAGACCCCAGGTCTTCCACCTGCCATTAGTGTACTCCTACACATTGCCCCTATCACCACTTTCCTTTAGCTGCTGAGAGTGCCATGTGCCACAGAATTCCTCACCATGAGAACCCCAGCTGAGCTGCAGCCCTCTCTGTGTGTTTTTGGTCTGGCAGTTTTGCAAGAAACAGCCCAAGTGACAGCTAGGCTCGTGCACCGAGCATCAGTCCCTGGTTGTGCAGGCTGCCAAAAGGCAGTGCTCTTCATTGTTAATGAATTGTTCACTCTCTGGGTCAGATGTGATCTGCCAAAGCTGGGTGCTGGCTTGCTGGGTTCCCCTTCACAAGGAGTGGTCAGTGTGCTGTCAGAGGCAGGAGTACGTACTGCGTATTTTGCTTTTCCTCTGGATGATCTATGCTTAGTGTAAATGAGTGGCTCATAGCACCCACAGCAGGAGAGATGGAGCCAAAGACCACCCACTCCTAATCCAGCCACTTTAGATTCAGCAGAGTGGGAGCAGGGTAGGAGGCTAACAGGAGAGGGGTAAAGCAGCTGGAGCAAGCAGTGAACATCCCGTGCATTTTTCTCCTTACTTATCCCCCCCCAACCCCCCACAGATCTGTAGGTGTGTGAGGTGAGATCTGGAATGGCAAGTGTGGTCTACACACTTGGAGCATGAAAAAGTGAGAAATCTACTCTGCATGCATACCTCACACATACCAAGTATGTATCAAGGTGTTCAGTCCTGCCTCCTTCACCTTCAGCATCTGAATGAGTCAGTGAAAAGGAATAAAGAGAGGGAGAAGCCTCAGGAAGGAGATAGATGGTAAAGCAGAAGGAAACGGTGTTATGAAAGCAGGGATATTTTCATTTAGTTGCCTGCACACAGGTGGAAGGGGAAGGAGCACAGAGCTCCTTGTAGAAACTGTAGATGAAGTAAGAGTGGGAATACATGAAAGGGGGCATCTGGGTAACTAGTTCCTCCTTTACTTAGGATAGAGACAAACAGAACAAGGGACAAAGGGACACTTTCCAGATCAGACTGCTTTGTGGTTGGTCTCACTTCACTACTTGTATTTCTTCCCAGTCTGGCTTTTCCTCTTTTGAGCAGCTCTCAATCTGATCACTTTTAGAAACTCAAGTAGAGGGCTTGGGGATGAGAACTTGTTTCTGCCAGTAAGATTCTGCAC